AAAATTTGTATTGTTCGATACATATGCGTACCGAACCGAAAGCACTGTATCGAACGGTTCAGTATTGTTGCACCCCTAATATTTATAGGTCGATGAAAACATTTCTCCCTGAAGCTTGAAGTTATTTTATCAGCCTTCTATCCCCACATGACAGAATGACTCACACTTAATCCCAAACAAGAAGGCAAAAAATGAAAATAAAAAAATTAAAAGGACCCTTTAAGATGAAGCATGTAGACCACATGGGCTGATTTGACTGACTTGTCTTCCTAAATACAACAGTCTAAAAAATGGTCCTATTAGCAGAGACTGAAGTGGCATCTACGAAGAGAAACGTTTAAGCATATCTGTTTCAATACATGTTCCAGCTGCTGTGTGAGCTGTTTAAGGGCTCCCGAGGGAGGGCAGGGGGGAGACCTCTGTATCAAAACACTTCCACAGCTAGCAGGAGGTGTGACATAAACAACAAGGTTCTTAGCCTTCCTCTGTGAGCCCTGCTGACAGCTGACCCCCCCTTAAAGTACACACACACATTGCACATGTGCACATATGCACACACTACACATTCAAATTGTATTCCTCTCAGTGCTTCTTGCTGCTTATCTCTCAGACGGAAGAAGGAAGGATGAAAAATGAATGGCTGCCACATGGAAGTAGTATGGTTGTATAAGAAGAAGAAAAGCTATTGGTGTGGAAAATCAATTCCGCCAAGTCACCAACACATAGCTTCTATTAGGTAAAATAGCCAACATTAGCCTGTCTTCTCATGCAGAGCTGAGGGATGAAGGGTACAGGCATGAATGTATGGGATGCACAAATAGTGATGAGAAGCAGGAATTGGGAAACTAGACGGACGGTTAAGGCATCCCAATGGAAGAAGAGAGTGATGCTCCTGTTGCTCGTTTGAATGCTGCGCAGGGTAAACTGCTCCTCCTGTATCACAGGTACAGAAATAATGTGTCCCATACAGATTACTCTATTCTGCTGACTCTTATCTTCCTGCTGTTGGCAAGAAATTTGCACGACCCCACGGCCAACAGTTGTCCCGCAAAAGTATCACCTGGTGGTCTGACACACTGGGTCCAGTCCAACCTTGTATCTCCAGGCTTTACAGGGACCACACTGAGCACAGCATTAGTATGAGGGGTCGAGCCGGGCTTTGTGCTGTGGTCATGCTCTCCAGGGCACAATTATCTGTTATGTGCAAGGCTCAGAGAGGGATATCTTATTTATTTTAGTCTGAGTGAGCATTGAGAGCTGTGGATGATCTCTCAGTGCCCAGCCTTAGAGCAAAGCTCATAAATCAAAGCTTTGTAATACAGATCAATATAAATACCTCACACAGGTGTCAACGTGTTTGACTTTTGGTTGATTGTTCGTTCTGCGGGGTTCAGGTGAAGTGATTTACATGTTGCATGTGAAAAAGTGAAATAAAACACGTCTGAGAGAGAAACTAGAGTGTCGAGCAAGTTATTTATGTTTTTAATCTCCCATACGAGTAATCAGCTGCGTCACCTTTGCTTTGTTGCCAGGACACACACTTAGTTTATTTCTGTGATGAAAGAATCAGAGAATTTACCAAAAGTCCAAATGTAAACTTTTTTCTGTAACACACACTTCACATTTGTGTTTTAATAAATATGCACATGAAGGTTTAAATTCAGGGATGTTTGCAAATGTTTGCACACTCGACCCATAACTGAAGATTATGTAAGTATCAGAGTTTTCTTTACAAAAAGGCTCCAAAGCTGATCGTTTCGGCTTAAACTGATTAAAGGATGTAAAACAATAAAATTACAGATAAGAAAAACGACTGATCACCAAGAATAGATTCTATGAAAATGTGTTGTTATTTTTCTATTTATTAGTTCTATTTATTTGATAGAGATGTGCCGAGTTTGAAAGGTCTTTTATCATACATCCACTTTAACTTTAACTTTTTAATTTTACATTTTTTACTAACACTGTAATATATCAGCCCGTTCTCACTCCCGAGGCGTAACATGCCGACGTTTTGTCACGTCCCGGGACGTTCTTGAGGAACGCAAAAGGAGACCTTCGGCGTTCTTATGGTACGCGGCGGGTTATGGCCGAAATCCAGTGCAATGATGCTCCCGCGGTAATAGACGTTCCAGCCCTGTATTCCAGCCCTAACCATAACCTTTTTCCTGAGGTTAACCAGGACTTTAATGATGTTAAATAGCGTGTTTCTAAGCGATTTGAAGAAAAAGAGCGAACATGTGTAGATTGAGTCCATACAGTTCTCATATTTCCTCGTTTTTCCGAGGTCGTCATTTAGGAACGTGGTGGGTAGCCGAAAACGTAATATGTTGACGATTTGTCACCTAGCGTAAAATGTTACGCTTTGGGAGTGAGAACGTGTTGAATATATATAGCTTATAGATACATGTTACGCTGCAACACTTATACATATATCACAACAGTTTAGCGCTTTAATCTGAAAAACAAAAAATCTTTATTTTTTTATTATTTTGTCAAGAATTTTGATCGGGCCCAAAACACATGAAAGTCCCTCCATGTCAGGATGTTATTGTTAGTTCTTTAATAAACTGAAAATCAGCATTTAAAACAAAATCAGAACGCGACAAACTATAGATGAAAATGAACATCTGGCTTTCCTCTCTACATGGCGGCACGCGTCATACTTGATCTCAGAATAAAACGCTCCACCTGCGTCGATCATTTAAAGTACTAACTCGACTTTTCTCAAACAACAACAGCTTTTAAATATAAAACCGTGTCATCCAGTAAACATCTGTTATGAAAGGATATTTTCAAAAGCAGAAAAAACAGCTTTTTGGTGGGTAAACGTCTCCACTTTATATGGTTACAAGTAACCATATTAAAAACAACATCCATGTCAGTGCAGAATAAACACAAGCGTGTGGCGTTAGTGCTCCAAATGTTAACAACAGGCCCCGACATTTAATGCAATTAATATTTTATAAACAGTAATTAAAGAAAGTATTTACACAATTTAATTAATTTTCACACATCAAATCTCCCTCAAAAATATAACAATAATAATCTGATTAGCATTTTTTTAAATCATTGTAGCTTGTCAAAATAAAGCAGACAAGTGGGCAATTAAAAACAGTTCAGTCTGGTAATTACTCTGCTTTTGACTGTGTGCAGGATAAATGACTCCTACATGCGTTGAATATTGAATATTGGCAAGAACTGTAAAATATGAATATATTGTCTAAAAAAACAACACTATAAAGGTCAAAGGTCAACCTTAGTGTTTTTGGAAGAAGATAAAAACAACATTTTATATATTTTGTAAATAAGTCTGTGGTTAAAAAAGACAGGAAAGAGAGCCATTTCAGTTTTAACTTATTTTTTATGAAAAATAAGCTTTTAAAATTGCTATTTAATGCACTTTAAACAATATCTGTATCTGGGATGATAGGAGCATGTGTTCCTTACCTGGCCAATGAACTTGGGAAAGGGACCTCGCTCATTCTCACTTATAGATATATTAGGAACCAGCAGGGATCTCTTAGATCTGTACGGCAGCTTCTGACCCACGATATCCTACAAAACACAGAAGAGAAACCATATCGTTGAAACTGGCAATAACTGAAATAGCTACATAATGTCTACCAACATTTTTAATTACCCGAAAACCCCACAACAACATCTAAACACACACACACACACACACAGCGAGTTGTTAAGTGTGCACTGAATGCAATAAAACTGTTAATACAGCTACTCTTAGAGACATTTCTTTCTTTTCCTTTTTTAAAGGAGAGTTGTATATATAATATTTGATGCAAACAAGCTGAACATCTGCATCTGGCAGTCAGCACCATATGCCTTACACATTTGGAGATAAGGACATAGTCTCTGAGAAAACTCTGCTGCTCTCACTGAATCTTAAATTCTTTATTTATATGTATTCAGCCCGTATGTTAAATAAGGATGGGAGAGAAAAGTAGAAAGCAAATTCAAAACAAAGCTGACAAGAAATGGTAAAAATGAAGAAATGAGCAAAAGCAAGGTTTTGGTAAAGTAATTGAACAGTTCGAGCAGAAGGAGCCCGTCTGAAATGTTGTTTTTGCTCTTGAGAACACAATAGCATAATCTAATTTTATCTTCCACCCTCCTGCCGCTGTAAACAAAGACGTGCTTTTTGCTGTGTAATATAGGGAAAAATTCTCCCTTTCCTTTTGAAATCTCTGATGCATTTCTTTCTGCTCTGATGAAAATAATGCCGAGAAATGACCCCAGGAAGCTGTAACCTAGGCTGCTAGCACACAGTGATGAAATATCACGGCAGGACTTCAGCCGAGGAGCTCACACATTTGTTTGACGCATTACTTTGATGCAAAACGATGCAGGAAAATGTTCTGTTGTGATGATGTTGGATCTTACATGCTAATACAGCTGCAACGTCGAATTCAGAGTCCACTTCAAGATTCTGGTTCTGACTTATAAAGGTCTTCATGGTCAAGCTCCCGCCTACATCATTGAGCTTCTACAGCCTCATGTTCATAGCAGGCCTCTTAGGTCATGTGACCAGGGTCTACTTTCATTCATCATACAAAGTTGAGACAGAGCTTTTGCCACTGTGGCTCCCAGACTGTGGAACTTTCTCCCACTGGGCATAAGATCTGTGGACTCAGTAGCTTCTTTCATAAAACAACTAAAAACACATCTTTTTAGAATTGCATTTTGTTGACTGTTGTCTATTTTGTTTTATGCTTTGTGTGAAGCACTTTGTGATCTTTTATGTAGAAAGGTGCTATATACATAAAGTTTTACTTACTTACAAAACACAAAGTGTTGGGAAAGCGAACACGGTTTAGTAAATCTGATTAGTATTAGTAATAAAATATGATGTGATACAGCCAAAATCTTTTAATAGAACAGATATTAGCAAAATGTTGGTTATGTTTGTTTATAAGTTAATAGCTCAACGAACACTTTTGGCTTCGTTTGGTCCTCAGTATGTCATGATCCGACTGAGGGATGTGCATATTTCACTGGTAATGACCCGTTAATCATGATCTGCATGATCTGCAGCTCACATGAGGGTTATGAGGGTTTATGAGGGTTAATCCCTCATAAACCCGTTGGCTCTGTTTCCAGTTCCCCTCAGAGCAGTCTAGTACAAAACACACGACCACCTCTTACAACCTAACTAAAATTATTGATATTGTTGTACTAAAATACTGAGAAGTTAAACATCCAGGAGAAAAAAGCATTTCCAAACTCCAGCTGGCAAACTAGTAAACTGATTAGCTTGACTAGCTAACTTGTTGATTTAGCTGATTAAACAGCGGCTAAATGAAAAAGTACAACACTGAATTTTAGTCTTTTATCCAGATGGTAATAAGGTTCCTACTATTCAGTATCGCTTTGAACAAAACTTACTATTCCAATGCCAACATCCACAACAACCAACACCCCCACCTCAGGATTTCATTTTGACCTCGACATTGAACTTATAATAAATATAAAAATGACAGAACGATAACAGTCAAAGCAAAGCGCACTTACATAAAAACCTCGACTGAGCAAGTGTTAAAATGGTAACACTTTCAATATAAAAGTACAAAAACCAACTTGTATTTTTCATTCATTTATAATATAAATATCCTATGTATTTATTTGCTTTTGTTCTTTTTTAACCTAGCGTGCACAACTATAATGAGTTCACAAAGATATGGCAGCATATACACAAATCAGGCATGACATTATGACCACCTGCCAAAAAAACATATTGCTCATCACCCATTTGCTGCCAGAAAAGCCCTGACCCATCGAGGCTTTCACTCTGTTTGAGCCCTGATGTCGTGCTGGGGCACCATGATGTTAGCCAGTGGTGGTCCTAGGCTGTTTGGCGCCCTGGGCGAACACCCCCTAACTAACAAACAACCTTCATAATTCATAATACAATGACAATAGGACAAATCGACAACGACTAATTAACCCTTTAAAGCCGATCGGAGCGGGCACGCTCTGTTTTGCGTAACTATTTTTAAATCCCGGTAGCTCTGCAACCAC